GGCTAGACGAGTGAAAGTTTCAACCACTCGGCTACCCCACCTGACTGAGCCATCTGTGCCCCTCTACTCATTGTCGGGTGGTCACTTGCTTGGTTGACACATGTCTTCGTATCCCAACTGCGTAGATCGATGCCCATGATGTTGATCACTCGATTGTCTGGTCTAGACTCGATTATTTACAGGCCGAGTCCATATAACTGGAATATTTCTGAGTGCGGCGTAACACAACCAACAAACCATTTACAATACCTGTATATTCGTACTTCAGGATCATTACTGTAGCAAAGCCACACATGCAGGATATTCAAACACACTCACCTAATGCTATCTATGTATCGCTAATGAGGACACTGGTGCAATCATTGCATTGTGTCTACACCCCATAAAATGAATTAAGTACACTTGTTATGTCTATGTACTCGTCAGTTGTAACTATGTGTTTGTGTGTATATTCAATCATTCTTCATTTTTTCACATATTACTTTACGTATGTATATGTATATATTGTCTTTTACTTATATAATTATTTGTCGGGTTTTATGTGCAAAATAGCAGATATTTGTCTGGCAATGACATTACCACAACTACAGCAGGAAAGCACGTCTTATCGGTGCGGTGCCTCGGGGATTATGTCTGAGATGTGACGGTGTCGCAGCTGTGATCGATTGTGTTAGCACATGTAGTTCTGGCGTCTTGGAGAGTTGACTTCGTCTGGGCAGCTCCCCACAGCAATGTAAGTAGCCCTATTCTACGTGCATCCTTTTGACAATTGCAGTTTCACTGTTTTAATGAAATAACGCGACAAACATATAGCTTAAAATGCGTGTAGATACTGTACAAACTAATTGACAATGAGTGTCCTTGGTAACGGCAGGGGCGTCTTTTGTTATTAGGTACTGCATGTATTACATTCAGTGGAATAACATGTGGAACTTCGCAATTGTTTTGGACAGACCTAAAGGTTGTGGCTGTTAAACACCATACGTCTTCGTTGATCAATACGATGCACTTGAGAAGAGAAACGACGTAAGTCCGCTAGGTACGTAACTCCGCTAGGTATACTTATGAATACCTCGAGTTATGAATTGTTATGAACGTTCGAAATAAATAAAGAGTTAGTGTTCATACTAACCACTTATATTCCAATCCATCCCCCAATCCTGCCTTAAACGTCGTTTTATTACTCCTTATATGATAAGAAACCCAATTCGATTGCTCTGCATTGAGTCAAAATTCATCAACATATAACATAAGCATATTTAACGATTTCTGACTACTGGGGCACTGCTGGGGTGCTATGGTGGCAATCAATACAGGCTTATATCAATCTGGAATTAACCAAATTGAAAAAAAGGCTGAAATAAACCCCTTATACCAACAAGCTTTCTTACAAATTAACACAACTATTCTGGTTGTTAGAATACATGCTTGGGCTGTGTATTGGCAAATAAATTGTATTGCAATGTATTAAGTGTTTGACAATGAGTGACTCTAATTGATCATGTCAATCCTATTTTCTATATTAGAAGTCCCTAAACATATATCTTATGGTTCTAGCAACAGCAATCTCAAAATTAGTCATGGATTCTGTATTACTCTTTCTACAATGTATACAATTACAATATGCCGTTTTGTTATTGAAAAAAAAAGAAAAACATTTGTTGTGAATAAACGTGTGCGTAGATTTTAACTTATAACTCTGAATATATTTGAGAGGCCTTTTAGAAGTTGTAAATATGAAGGAAAATCAAGTTCTATGGATCGTAACCTTTATTTCAATGAAGAGGTTGACTATCCATAGAATTTGGTTTCCTTTAAACTATAATGATAATCACAAACACTTCATATATGTTCTCAACATACCGGTTCTAAGAAACAACATCGCAATACGTATCGTTTGAAAAGCATATTGCGATATAACAGTAAGAATGTGCAGTCCTAATATATACACTGATGAATCTAAAAATGCAGCTGTTACCCATGATATCACTCTGTGGCTTCGTTTATCAGATAAGGCAATCCAGCCAGCTCTAAAACTCATTACATGTTCCACGGAAACGAGAGTTGTCATATTTTCAGATTTGTATGTCCTGTTCACGGGCAATAAAAACCGTAAATCTGACCGTTCGTTTTTGGTTGCAATTTTGAAAAGCAATTTTAATCGGTCTGTGGCTAACATTGGTCACTGATCCCGCAGGTAAATCTGCTCTAGAGAAGTCCATATCAAACAGCACCTTTCCATAGCAAAGATGGACTAAACAAACAGCGAATGCCATACAACCACTGATAGGGTTTGCCGTCCCAACTGGTCTAATGAAATGGTAAGGGAGAGGATTCCCCTCACAGCCCTTTGACTATCAAATAGCTTTTGTTGATTTTTCTCACATTCGCCAACAATTTTATACTGTCCAAACGATGTCTGAACTCTTCAATATTATCGTATAATTTTAGAATATTTGAAGGAAGTTAAACTATATGATAAAATGTACATTTCAAATTCTGAGGTTAATGTTGAAGTTGACATCCCTGCATCATGTATGTTGATAACCTCCCATCCTGTATTTCCTGAAAATCTACGTCTGTTTATGTCAAGGTAAGTACACCTTCAGTGCTGTCGTCTTTCAAATCAGTTTGGAGCCCTAATGTAGTTAGCTCCTTTGCAGCATGAGAACAGCTCCCAAGGCATTTTGAGATTTTGTTTGAAGCACGTGCTTCCCATGGCTTAATTATGTATCTGTATCAGTTCTCGATGACGAATCTAGCCATCCACTTAGAAGGTCGCTACCAGGTTGGCCTCGATCGTGATGTCAGGGTGTTGATGTGTACATTGTTTTACTTCGATCTTCAATATCTTCAATACTGATTGGCATGGTGTATTTGAACATGTTATCTTGCTTTTTCTGTAATATCAATTTCTCAGTTGGCAATAGGTGTGACTAGTCAACTGTACGTACAAGTTGTAACTTAATCGCTCTCGTTGTAATTAATCCCAGTCGTCAAATAGACAAACACAGTTTTGTTTAGACTTGCTTCGTTCGGTTGAGATTACACCCATTATGTTTCAGTATACACATTTCTTTATAACTCACTTTTACTTGATCGGTAATTTTGGATCCCGTAGCAGTTTGGTTTGGGCCAGTTAGCAAATCTGGGTCAGATTTGAATCTTTTTACGATTTGGTTCAGATATAATAGCAAAATACTCAGTGTCCAGCATAAGCATTCTGGTTTCGGGCCTTATCGCGATTCGGGACCAACGAACATGCTCCATGATCAATCAAATCCAATCAGATTCAGCCAATATCGATCCACGCTACATGTCCTATAGCTCTGGTGTAATCTGCTTGACAGATATTCGACACTGGTTGTTCTCTAAGGTTGGAGTTATACTGCAGAGTACTGCCACTAGTTCATGGAGAATGTTGAAGATTATTGCCACATCTCAATGTCAAATATCCAGAGTGCTTTACAGTACCTTTTTATTGAAACTTTTAAACTGAGAGTCTTCAGAGAGTATACCGATTTATTGTTTTCTTATAACTCCACAGATCTATTATTAAATTTCATTATGTGTATTCAACGATTACTTATCCCTGACTTACTGATCAGGGGCTAGGCAAACTGAACAGAAATATAAAGGTTGGAGTGAGTGAGTGAGTGAGTTTAGCTTTATGCCGCTTTTAGCAATATTCCAGCGGTATCATGGCGGGGGACATCAGAAGTGGGCTTCACACATTGTACCCATGTGGGAAATCGAACCCGAGTTTTCTGCGTAACGAGCCAACGCTTTAGCCACCAGGCTACCCCACCGCCCCTTATATTGTTTGAAATAAGAGTGGGGTAAGAAATGAATTTGCAACCACATTACCCCTACCATGTTTGAAATATTTCAAATGTGTACCGAGGATATTCAAGGATACGATACGACCATTGCAGTTGTGTGTTATGTATGTTGTTTCATATTTTAGAAGTTTCATGTAGAGTTTGAACGATGCAACCACGTATTATTATTCTGTTATCCTGACGCCACAGTAATTCATTTGTGGGGTATAATCTTGCTAACCTGAGATATTTGGAACATCAAACATGAAACATTCAACTGATCATGGGGGATTATTTTTTTACTTGATTTACGGCAATTTTCCCATGTATAATTTTCAATTTAAAGGGACTTTGCCATGTTTTTAAGGTTCAACATTTATCCATTGCCATTCTGAACGAGTTTAGACATTCTTTTTCAATTACATTCATCTTTCTTTGTTGAAATGTCGTACCCTTTACATGTTTGCTACCCCTGCCATTCGTGTCTTGTTTCATTTTCTCAATGCTGGAAAGTTCTTCGTGATGCAGGTCTCCGAGACGTTTGCCACTTTGGCTCAAGCAGGGTCACCGTGCTGACAAATCGAGAAAGCCAATCACTATCAATTTGGGTATTGAGCGTCATAGCAAAGGGATCTGACAAGGCTGTGTCCGCGACTGCGCACAGTGCATTTCAACACCAAAGACGACACGGTAGCATTCTACCTGTTTGAACCTATCTGCCGATATCAACGTTGTCTGTTGCGCTCTGATCTTTAATGTGTTTAATAGCAAACATGTTCAGCATCATAGACAAGTAGTTGTGATACCAGGAGTTTGCGATAAAGGTGCTGTATCCTGCCCCACCCGTGGCAACAAACACTTTAAAGGTAAGTCGTTTCATCATCATATGAAACACGCGGGAACATTACAAGACGAAATGGAGACCTCATGGAATGGAATATGTTCACCATTAAAAAATGTTTGAATGTTGTAAACCGATTAAGCAGTTTTTAACATGATCTGCATGACATTTGTGAAAACGTTATACAAACACCGGTGTTTAGAGCTGGAACATTGCGGGACAGAAATGGGACGCCATCTCTTTGTGTTATGTACATCTTTATTTTTTCTCTTTTATTATATACACTTACATCGTTCTATGAATAATTGTTTCGTCTTATTTACAGAGAAAACAATCTGATGGCGTCAACAACGTTCAACGTTACCTTCTCCACAACGTCATCAGTAAAGTTCAACGTTTCCTTCTTCACAACGTCATCAACAACGGACACTAACAGCGCAGACAACTGGGAATTTATTGATAGCGTGGCTTACAACATCGAGACCTACTACCTGTGGGTCATCCTATTCCTTGGGTTCCCAGGCAATTCTGCAACAATCATCACAATCATCAAGATGTCTCCAGCACGGTCTCTCACCGTCTACATCGCCCTTCTCGCTGTCGTCGACAACCTGGCTATCGTCATCAAGCTTCTCATATTTGTTCTGACAGATCATGGAGTTGACATCGGTTCATTTGGATGCAAATTTCTTGGATTTTGTGGCAATTTTCTAATCACACTTGGCAACTGGATTCTAGTGGCTTTGTCCGTGGAAAGATTCGCTGCTGTGTGGTTCCCTTTAAAACTTGGTCAGAACTGGACTTTCAGGAAGTCTTTAATTGTTGTCGGAGGAATGACAGTTCCTTTGATAGGTCTGTTCCTTCATCTGTTTTGGACGACGGATTATGTCCCTGCAGAACCCCCAAATACAGCATACTGTGGTGTCCACGCTGAATATGTTGGTTTTATCACCGAATGTTGGTACTGGATTAATATCGTCATCTATGCCATCCTGCCCTATGTTTTATTACTGCTCTTTAACAGTCTGATCGTAGCAGGAATTATAATGTCCAGAAAAGTAAGCAGGTATTTGAACCGAAGTAATGCCAGGGATAGTGGGCATTTTACGTCTTATCGGCAACGTCAAATTACTGTTATGCTTGTGACGTCAGCGTTTGTGATGGTGATTCTCATAACTCCTCGGTGCGTCTTTCTCGTTCTGTCAACGTCCTTGACCGCTCCCATGACCACGAGGAGGGGAGCAATTGTGTACCTTCTTGACACTCTCGCCTATGTCATGTGTGACTCCACTCACGCCGTGAACTTTTATCTGTATTCATTCAGTGCAAGACGGTTCAGGAAGCAATTTTGGGACGTCCTCTTTTGCAGAGAACGAAAGCAAACCCAGTCTAGTGCCCAATACGTTACGCTGACATCTCGCATGTCCATACGATTTAATACTGCTTTGATATGGGATTCGGTCGAACGGCCGCTTGTCCGATATCGAAATCAAGAGAACTGACACATTGTGGGAATTCATGTTAGAACCTGCATTCCAAGAGAGAGGTAAACATAAATAGAGTGGCTACCCTCCGCTAAATTTATCTTGTGACACTCTCTGTCGTTATTGATAAGTACATAAACGGGATGGTGACTTCCCAGTCCGACTCTATGTTCACTGTACACCGTTGTGTGGAATTAACGGTTGTGTCGATGTAACCTCTTCGTCCAATGAATCCTTACTTTCTTGTTTACTGTATGGTTTTTTTGAAGCTCGGATAACATGAAGTATTTACGTAATTCCCTTCAGCGCAAAGCCAAGGATGTTTGACTGTATTTCATAATTAACGTTACCCTGGACCGCAACGTGGGGCAGGAGAATATTTTAGGAAACAACCATGCAGGCCTCGGTGAGTGAGTGAGTTTAGTTTTCCGCCGCACTCAGCAATATCCCAGCTACATGGCGGCGGTCCGTAAATAATCGAGTCTGGACCAGACATTCCAGTGATCAACAGCATAAGCATCGATTTGCGCAATTGGGAACCGATAACATGTGCCAACCAAGTCAGCCTGACCGCCCGATCCCGTTAGTCGCCTCTTACGACAAGCATGGGTTACTGAAGATCAATATTCTAACCCGGACCTTCACGGATCCATGCAGGCCTGAGCCTTAAATGAGAGCGACAAACATTGGTGCTGAGAAATCTAGAAACGTCAAGTCTACATCGGGATTCGAACCCACGTTGATACGTTTTGGCGCGCCTAAAGGAAACTCACGAAGAATTCTGACAAACAAACTATGGCGTATCGATCCCAGTTGCCCGAAGCCAACTCAACTTTGAAATGTGCACTGCAACTTACTGAAAAGGACACGCCAATGATGATGGCTTTCACACATTGTACCCAGGTGGGGATTTTTAACCCGGATCCTCGGCGTGACGATCGAACGCTTTAACAACTAGGCTACCCATCACCCTGTACCGTTGACAATTTGTAATTGATGTTACGAAATGAATGGCTACACCATTGCCCCTAAAATGTCAGTTCACGTAGTCGCAGTATGCTGACAACGCATGTGTCGGCGTCCGTTTCATTTGGTATTGGGTTATGCGGCTTTGCCTACACTACCAACTACTAATCATCCTTTTCTGGATATCACTTCCTAATCATGACAAATGCAAGCCTTGCGTAAAAGTGGAAATTATGTATTATTGCCTTGTCAGTCACCAGACGAGAACAGCTGAAAGATATTCAAGTGGACGGTATTGTTTACGTTCCAATTGATTGTGTCTGTAAGAAAGGACTGTTTCGTGAGTAATCTGGCAAGATGAGTTTGAATGTTTCGTGAGTAATATGGCAAAATGGGTTTGACTGTGTCGTTCCCGGGTGCCATTAATATTCCCCTATGGGTACAATATGCAAAGCTAAATATTTGTGTTGGTTTTGCAAAATGCGGCAGGGAACTACATGCATTCGCTGACATTCCAAGTATGCCGGGGCAAGGCTTTCAGTCTTGGGTATCGCACAGTAATTGATTTTCAGCTGTATGACAGCAGTCTGTCAATAATGGAGTCTGGGCAAATCCTGTTACTGACATCAGAGCATGTGTTTGTGAATCACTATCAAATAGTGCTGATACCAGGACTTCCTTGAAAAGGTGAGGGTATCCTGACCCACGTTCGTAAGCATAGTGCTGTAGTACCTGCATGTACGTTACTTAGTTAGGCGGTAGTGGCGACATATGTTATTGATGAAATGTTCTCAATTTCCGACAGTCAACAGGTCAACCGAACACTGTACTAAAACATCACAAATGCTTTTTCTCTTCGCCCAAACCGTTTACGTTACAGTCACTGTTCATATAATGTCAACAACTTTTCGCGAACTCTACGCGATGATGAAGCGATATGTCCGCGGTATGATAACATTTGTAGTACAGCGCTGGACCGACGTTACGTTAGAGAAGATTCGCGATGCGATCGCGATACGTTTACAAAACGATAAGTAAGTGTAAAATTACGCTTGGACCGGAGTGTATGTAACAGTCAGAATCAGATGCTGGAAACCTGTGGCGTCTGTGGGTCTCTGCCTCTCACGCAAGTCTGTATCAAAAGGAGGTATGCGTCTGAATTACGGCGAGTGCCTGCAAATTGACGCAAATTGTCACAAATAAAATCTTGTATAGTTGGGCCAAGAATTTCAAGTACTGGCGAGGAAATGTGCTGTGTGCAGTGAGGCGATTATGAGAGTTGATAGCCGAGGTGACAGCATAAATAAATTACTATAAACACATCCCTTTGCCACTCTGTCGGTGGATAGAAAACAGCGGCTTTTTGTATGAGGATGTTATTCTTGGGTGATTTTCTAATAGCTTTAGAAAATCTGACCTAAACGTTTAATTAAAAACGATATGACATTATCGATCCAGAAAATATTCTGTGAAAACACTGTGAAAACGTAATATGATGACGTTACCAACAACACTTCTACAATGATGTGACAACTTAACATACTGACATCCCCAGTAAAACATCAACGACGCTGTGAACACGCAGCGTTACGACCTTCTGATTGTGGAAGTAAGGAGGGAACAACATCTGAATACCTGGGGATCGTGTCATTGTTTCACCAAGACACTTGCACTACGGAGGTCATGTTACTCTGGCCTTTATCCCTTGTCTCTCTCCACTTGCCCTTGTGCACGTTGTCTTCCATGTTTATGGGATTGTACGGCTTACTCTGACACGGGTACATAGAGTTGTATCACTCAGGCCTGTCAGTACCTTTGTTTCATGCGTGTTCTCAATCCTGGTTTGTGCTAATTTTAGCAATACATTTGCTGGCAATGTCAGTCGGTGGGTTTCAACAAAGTAGTAATTGTCGAAGACGTGAATCAGTTCGGGTTTTTCCGCCATCATTAAGTGAAACTATCACTGAAGTACTGTTCCAAGCAGTGTTAAAAGCAGCTCAGTCACTCCGTTCACGTTACCGACGTATGTTTTCCAGTAGTTTGTGAGAGCATTTTTATCAAAGTGTAAAAGCTGAATAATCTCCTACTGACAAGGAGCGGTGGGGTAGTCTAGAGGTTAAAGCGTTGGCTCGTCACGCCGAAGACCCGGGTTCGAATCCCCACATGGGTACAATGAGTGAAGCCCATTTCTGGTGTTCCCGCCGTGATATTGCTAAAAGTGGCGTAAAACCAAACTCCGTCAGTCAGTCAGTCCTACTGACAAATAATTCCTTGCATCGACTAAACTCAACGGTATGTTATCAGTTTTTACCATCAGACAAAAATTGAAAAGCAGATATGTCTGGATTTAAGGAGAAAAGGTCTCCTGACTTTGACTGAAAGAAATATGAACTTCAACCAACTGTACCCTTCAACGATGCAACAACCAGTTTTACTTTGCACATAAAAAAACTTCCATTGACATTTGGGAAATCTGTAGCCTACGGTAAACTGTTCAATCTGCAAATGTGGTTTGCTTTCAACCTATAGGTGAATACCCCTGTGGGTATCGGGAGAGAGGTTATACATCCAGTGTGTTCCTGATATCATACTTACGGAAAAAAGTAACTGTATATTACATAAAAAGTACTTGAAAAGTTATTAAAAATAACCCCAAATATACATGTAGCAAAGCACTTCCGTGAAATTCGATGTCACGTATCATATGTGGCACATAAACTTTGTGTGCACAATGAACCTATTCACTTTTAGCATGCTTTTTGACCCCTGAAGTTTACACAACTGATATTGCAAACTAAAGAACGGATGATTATTATCTAGCCTCTGAATGTCGTGGAAAACATGTTAATGTCAGCCTAAACTGCGCGTACGACATGCCGCGGCTTACAGAAATTCAACGTCTCCGTGGGATGAGTTGGAAACTGGAATGGCCTTAAATGAAGTCGTCAGACATTTTGGTGTCCATCGAAACACGATCTTATCTCAGTGGAGACGGTTTCAACATAAAGGGAACAGGTGAGATTTGCCTCGGACTCGCCGTACGCACGTGACATCACGTCAGCAAGACAACCACATTCGGCTGACCCATATAAGGGAGCACAACATCCGGCCCGACGGCCTGCAATACGTCCAACTTTGCTCCAACGGAACCGACAGGCTCGTCTTGTCTAGTGCAGACAGCATCTACGGTACAGGAGGTAAGATTGGGGTGGTGTTTTGTTAACAGACGTGTCGAGATTTCATTTGGACAGCTCAGATGGCAGGGCAAGGGTGTACAGATGGCGAGGTGAACGGTATGTTGACGCGTGCGTTGTTCAACGTCGACAGTTTGGTGGAGTGAGCGTTGTGGTATGGGGGTCATTCCATCTCATGGTCGGACAGAACTTGTCTGAAAGGTCTGCAGTGCAGGGATGAGATCATTGGGCCTTAAGTGCAGCCGTTCATTCAAGGACAAAGACGTAACGTCACGCTTCAGCAAGATTATGCGTGCCACGATACCTAGTGTCAAATCATACAGATTTTGATATTACCCTGCCAACAGTTACACAGAGATTAAGGAAAACACCACAACTCAAGTTGGTATATGTTTGCATTAAAACATGGCATAACATCAAATAATGCACAGTTACTTTATTCCAGTTGTATATAATCTGTATACACCAACAGTCCGTTATGGGTCGTCACGAACGCGTGTATGCATATTGTAAAATGGGTTGATTGGACTTGTTGTCATTTCGGGTATCTTGGACATATTTCAACGAGACAATAACTTAATTAAGACAAGAATTTTGTTTGCATTAGCATACAACACGGGAAAAACACCACGATTATTCGCAGGAAGGAGAAGCCTTTCTCGTTATATATTGTAGGTGACAGGAACTTCATGGCCCTGTTATCTATATACGTATGCAGTGAATACAGCGGAAGGCGTCACTTCACTGAACCACGAGTCAGCGCCACTGCCCCACACGTCACAAACCGTGGCTCGTCCTGTTGATAGTGAGTGAAGGACAATTTTATGATAAGGTTTCATATGGAACACTATTCAACACGTACCAAGATCAGGTATGGCGTTCCCCAAATTGTACTTATTCAGGTTATCGTACACGGGTGTATCAAGCTAAAGCCTTAACCGCTATGATACACTGTCTTCAGTCAAACAAGGGATAGCTCCCGAGGTGGCGAGGAACTTATAGAGCTTGGTTCAAGGCTTCAAATGATGAAGTAATGAAGGTCATACACGTACTAGTCAATAATTATTGACAAAGATCTCCTGTTTATATAGTTTGTTTTGTTGCTGTTTTTGTTGTTTCTTTGTCGTTGAAACAACACCTGTCCTTTTTAATTATTCAGTTGACATTTGTCTCAATTGTTCAAGAAGGACTGACTTCTCTTACACCCTCACGAACACCAGGCGCTGGCATATCGAGGAAATGGCTCTGTCCCTTGTGTTCACGTATGGCAGTGTTTACAGCGTCAAGGCTGCAAATGAAGCTGTCCTTTCTTCACAGTTTTGGCAGGATATCGATGTCTAGCCAAATATCACTTGTGTTTAATATTACAGCTAAACTGAAGGATAGAACTGTCCCTCTTCCACATGCTGCAGGCGGTATCTATATTATTTGCCAATAACCTTTTATGATAAGTGTCTAAACAACAAAAAAAGCAACCTAAAAACAACCACCTCAACGATGCACTGAATCCTCTGAATTATAACAGTTCTCAAAACACCTAAAGGAAAAGTTGGATTTGGAGAAATAACTGTGATGGGAGCCACTTTGACAGACCGATCCAAGTTGTTTTTTGTGATAATTTTGTTTTTCTTTTTTGTTGTTGCTGTTTTTGTTTTGTTTTGTTTGTTGTTGTATTTTTGTTGTTTTTGTTGTTTATGTTTGTTTGTTGGTATTTGTTAGTTTCTGGGTTTTTTGTTGGGGGGTATGGTTTTTGTTACAGGGTGACATGTGTTAATTCCTTGAGTTATGGGGTAACTAAATAACCACATTAAGGGAAGTAGTCGTTAACTGTTCCATGGGGAGGTTTTCGGGAAATGTCTCTCTTGAATAGTATACTTAGCTCACCGCGAACACGGTCAATTCACTGTGCTTAACTTCCTTAAGTGGCATTTAGAAGCTGGTATGATGAAGTGGAACACGTTTATAGATAGACAACTTCTTTGTTGCAGTAGTAGTTGCGACGTTTCGGTGTAGATCCTAACACCGTTATCAAGCAAATGATACACAACATTTGCACAAGGAGAAACATATACATGGCGGGTATTGGTTTATACAATAGAATAGGTTGATGTACGGTGTGTTGACATGATACTTGTTGTGATAGGAATGATTGAAGTGTTAGGATCTACACCGAAACGTCGCAACTACTGTTGCAACAAAGAAGTTGTCTATCCATAAAAAGTGTTCCACTTCAATTCAGTGTGCTGCTGTTATTAATATTGTTCCGCCTTGAGAATTCTAGTATGGGGTAGATTGGCTAGAAATAATGTACCGCCTTGAGAATTCTAGTATGGGGTAGATTGGCTAGAAATAATGTACCGCGTGATAACATCATTATTTTCGCCTCATTTACGAGTATTTTAGGAACACTTATGTTTGAATACTTGCTTACTGTCCCCAACAGACATATTTGCGTTGTTAATGGAACACACACATCCCACGGCACTGACTTCTTAATCTAGTTTATCAACATTTGTCCCGTTGATAAACGTCAGTATCCCTAACATCCTGTAAAACGGTTGGTTGGATCTTGTTTAACGCCGTACTCAGCTATATGTCTGTAAGTATTCGAGTTTGGACCAAACGATCCAGTGATCAACAGCATGAATATCGATCTTCGCAATTGTGATACGGTTTCATGTATCAACAAAGCCAGCGAGTCTGACTACCCGATCCTGTAACGACAAGCAAGGGATGCTGATAACCAATTGTAACCCGGATCTTCACCGGTACATGGAAAACATAACTGACATTTGATATTATTCTCCCAAGGATCTCAAATGATTTTAAAACTATACTTCGATAATACCTTAAAAGGAACAACATGAATAGATTGCGTCCCAAAACATGACTTGATCAAATGACAGGAAATAGAAACAGAGCATAAATTGAGAGACCCTGGAACCCACTGTGTGAAACGTATCAGAGAGCTTTCTTGGCTTATGCTTCAACCACTCTTTTAGTGGTACTGCCACAATTATTATCATGAAAACTTGAAATGCGTTGTATGCTTCTGATGTCATTAAACTAAGTTTCATCATGCCAGACACAGAATTGCCATCAAATTATATCCCTTTATTCGCACGTACCTTCTGGCAAACGAAAGGCAATTTTAATCACTGTATTTTACTTTACTTTCCACAATGACAATCACCTCAGAAAAAAATCCATTAATGGAATCAATATAGTGAAATATTTCATCATTAATTTCCAGGTAGGAAACGACACAGAATATGTAATAATAGGATAGTAAGCATGCCAGATAGATTGGTACTCGTGACAATACCTCCTATTTCCCGTGCAGCCTGCAGAAATAACCGTGACATTTCACAAGAAAAAAATAAGTCAAAATGAGGAGGAAGTCTATACAGTCTTACCTTTCGTATTGCAGTACACACGACAAGAGTAATGAAAGCTCAATCGATTCAAGTACACCATCATGCATTTCTTGCACTTCGACATTTATATTAATGACACGTTTTACAAATATTTCTATGGTGTCTTCGAAGAACAATTATTTTGCGACTGGAATGAAATCTGGCCCCAGACAGCGTTGGCGTGAGTCCATTATTATTCGTCACTTTGTGTCGGAAAACGAAATGGCACCGTGTTATAAGGTGTCTCTCTGGTTGATTGGACATCAGACACCATGATTAGCCTTCACCGCCACGAAGTTGGCATCCTTGATTGCAGTGCATGGTTCGTGCCAGTCGCAGGCGTTCATTGAAACATACCAAACATATCATACCGACATGAAAACCTGTCAACAAAGGACGGTAAAATGTAAAATTAGCAAATAACTAAAACATGATATTTTCTAAACGACTGAACATAAAAAACGGGGTACATTTCGCCAACAACTGAAGGTAGATCACCATACTAGAGAACACCGGGTCTCACAGTACATTTGCTACATGCATGGTGAATGTGGGAACGAACATGCTAACTGTATGGTCCTCAATGGTACAGAGCTAACTGTATGGTCCTCAATGGTACAGAGCTAACTGCATTGTACTCAATGGTACAGAGTTTATGTGATTGAACATACCCAATAAAACGTTACTTTTGATACTTTGAGGAGTTGCTAGTCTAGTTACTTCAATGTAAGTTGTAACAGAACAAGATAGATGTCTATGTTTTCTTTAACACTTACGCGCAATGACAATTAACATTATTTTTAATTGTGAATTCAGATGATTCAGATTTTATGGACATAGTATATGCCTTGATAATGTTGTTTCATGTTCAACAGACTCATATTTTCATCTTCTAAATGCCTTTGAATTGTTTTCGGAAACATTGTACATTTAACGGAGGGTTTATCGTGAAACCTTTTTGGAAAATATAAATAATATCAGAATGACACTACTGTATCTCGATGGTCATTTAATTTATAGACAATAATAACCAATGCGTCACGAGCACCTGATGTCAAAACAACACGCCAGCAGCCCATACGCCTACTAATTAAACAGTCTATTGACAAGGTGTCAGCACGGAGGGGAAGTAGTGAGTAGCATCTACGTACTTCTTGTTACCCTGTCTGAAACTGGTTGGATGGTTGGTTACTTGTTTTGCCATTCCAAATCGATGGAAGGGAAATAACTCTAAATTTGTGTTTCATGTCTGTCGCTGTCTGTATCCGCTAATTGGCTATTTTTCGTACTCTTAATTATGATACGATACCCGTGCTTCAAACAGTTCAAAATATAACATTGAGGTGTTTAGTAAGATAAATGCGTTGTTCACTGGACCCTCGGGTCCCACTTTAGTACATCAATGCATGTCCCCCTCGAGACCAGTGAACAACCTATACTATAACACGTAATATACATGCTCACGCGATCAGGCATGCCGATGGGAGTAGCATGATTGGTTGGTTTGTTGGTTTGTTGTTTAACGACACGCTCAGCAATATTCCAGGTGGCAGGCTGGTACTTTAACCCCCATGGAGGATGCAGCCATTAGCAATGTCAGTTGTTTTAGTATATGTTTTACTGTATAAATTCGGACTGAGCTGTCTTCTGGCGGCTTAGTTTTGACTGCAACAGGGATTCAGAAATACATTTTTAATTAACAAACAAATAAATATCGGTTGTTTTTTCAAACTACCAATCATAAAAAAAACCATTTATCACTTTACACAACTTTAATCAAACTTTATCTAATAACTATTTCTTTTAAGATGCAATAATTACATGATACTTCAAACTAAAAAGATCCTTCAAAGTTTTGACATTGAATACTTATTCATTGTGATGGAAAAACTACGCAATTGGAATACGAAGATATGTGTAAAGCAAATCAGCCAAAACCGTTAATCGCCTCTTACGACAAGTATGGGTTTCTGAACACCAATTCTAATGCGGACACCCGTGAAGGTCCGGGTTAGAATATTGGCCTTCAGTAACCCATACTTGTCGTAAGAGGCGACTAACGGGATCGGGTGGTCAGGTTCGCTGACTTGGTTGACACATGTCAACGGTTCCCAATAGCGCAGATCGATGCTCATGCTGTTGATCACTGGTCTCGTCCAGACTCGAATATTTACAGACTAACACCATATAGCTGGAGTATTGATGAGTGCGCGTTAAACTAAACTCACTCGCTCTAAACCGGATATTCACGGGTCTGTCTGACACTGGGGGAATGATACAAAGACGAGTCGCCTTCAATGCCATAGTGCGTTGAACTTTAACTTAGTATTTCAGGGTATCTCAGTTGGTGAGCTTGATAACGGCCGATTGAAAGTCCGTTCACACAAGCTCCAGGAGGTATACACACAAACGTATATGCACAATGCTATATAAGTATGTACGTGCAATCTTAGCTGAAACGTTACGCGTATCCTGGTTGTGCGTCTCACTCACTGCCCACGCCCAGAATTGTACACGCACGCACACACACACGTCAAAGCCAATTTCACCACACTTAATATATTTACATCCCTATTCACCAGTTTTCTACAGGCACGGGGTACGACCGGCATATTTTGACCCACAATCCTCAAATAGTTGTGACGATACTATATCCCAGGATGCTGTTCTACACAGCTACTCGTTGTCTTTTGACCACTGGTATATGAGTGGATGTTGCTTCCTGGGATGTTTCTGACATTCATAATATATATTGATGTGGACGTTTTCAAGCAACGACACATGGCATGTGACTGACCTCTCAAATTGTCGACATATATCCTTGCTGCGTTTGCATAACCATTGGACCCATGATCAACAACAGACAGACATGGACACAGATACACTCGTCAGCTATGAAAGTTAGCTCATCAGAGGCTTATTTCATAGCATCAGAAACATCTATAACCAGTTCAGGTTTAGATCTGTCTGCACATAGAGTTTCATGAAAAGGCGAGTTAGCCTCTTTTAAAACAAAATCCATCTTGAGGTTGGAGGAACGTCGGATGGGGCGACAGGTGTAATGTTGTTGAGAAATAGTCACTAATACATAGGGAAGCCTTTCACGATTCAAATGAATTCAGTAGGGTTGCAACTGCAGCTGACAAATCAGGGGATGTATAACTCCCTGTGCCAGGACGTATATTTATGTTTGAACCATCATTACTAATTCATATGTAATTATTTGAAATTAAATCCTGGTATATTGTTCCTTAAGTGTCTGTAGTTGTATCACACCAGAGTGGGGATTGGCCATTTGAATCACCCATAATAAAACAGGGTCTCGGGAGTTGATCATACATAACTTGCAGATCAGCCAGCTGAAAGTCGGTTTTGGCAGAGAGCATAATGTGAAAGCAACGTGTGAAGTAAGTATCACTGGACTATGGATAACAGTCTGCATAACAACGATTACAGGTCTAATATTAGCCCTATCACCCGGAGGTGTAAAATAATCTTATGAATTTCCTCACGTAGGTCAAAAGTATGTGTCTAATTTAAATATGGTTCGTGCACTCAACATGCTAATGGTGTAATATCCTGGAGGAATAGATAAAATTCATCGAGATTAGTCCGTAGTCCCCAGCAATTAAACCACACAATGTAGATGGTACGACCTATTTTTAGAGACAGTTATTGGGGATCTGTCCCTCAGATGTTGATTGCCTCTAAGAGTTTTCGTATCTTGTAATCTGACCGGTTGAGGCAATCGACATCAAATGACTCAACCCGGTAATCAACAGATATCAGGATTATTACATCCCCACGGCTTACGATCAACTAATCAAGCCTAATCAAGAATAACCCTCCTTTGTCTACTGGCTTTAATCATTCCTACCACAACAAGTCTCATGTCAACACACCGTACATCAACCTCTTCTATTGTATAGACCAATACCCGCCATGTATATGTTTCTCCTTGTGCAAATGTTGTGTATCATTTGCTTGATAACGGTGTTAGGATCTACACCGAAACGTCGCAACTACTACTGCAACAAAGAAGTTGTCTATCCATAAAAAAGTGTTCCACTTCAATTCACTGTGCTGTTATTAATAATGTTCCGCCTTGAGAAATCTAGTATGGGGTAGATTGGCTAGAAATAATGTACCGCGTGATAACATCATTATTTTCGCCTCATTTACGAGTATTTTAGGAACACTTGTGTTTGAATACTTGCTTACTCTCCCCAACAGACATATTTGCGTTGTTAATGGAACACACATATCCCACGGCACTGACTTCTTAATCTAGTTTATCAACATTTGTCCCGTTGTTAAACGTCAGTATCCCTTTACATCCTGTAAAACGGCTGGTTGGTACTTGTTTAACGCCGCACTCAGCTATATGTAACGACAAGCATGGGATGCTGATGACCAATTGTAACCCGGATCTTCACCGGTACATGGAAAAAATAACTGACATTAGATATTATTCTACAGGATCTCAAATGATTTAATTCTAAAAGTATACTTCGATAATACCTTAAAATGAACAGCATGAATTGATTGCGTCCCAAAACATGACTTGAGCAAATGACATGAAATAGAAACAGAGCATAAATGGAGAGACCCTGGAGCCCACTGTGTGAAACTTATCAGAGAGCTTTCTTGGCTTATGCTTCAACCACTCTTGTAGTGGTACTGACACATTTATTATCATGAAAACTTGAAATGCATTGTATGCTGCTGATGGTATTAAACTAAGTTTCATCATGCCAGACACATAATTTTCATCAAATTATATCCCTCTATTCGCACGTACCTTCTGGCAAACGAAAGGCAATTTTAATTACTGTATTTTACTTTACTTTCAACAATGACAATCACCTCAGAAAAAAAGCCATTAATGGAATCAATATAGTGAAATATTTCATCATTAAATTTCCAGGTAGGAAATGACACAGAATATGTAATAATAGGATAATTAGCATGCCAGATAGATTGGTACTCGTGACAATACCTCCTATTTCCCCTGCAACCTGCAGAAATAACCGTGACATTTCACAAGAAAAATATAAGTCAAAATGAGGAGGAAGTCTATACAGTCTTACCTTTCGTATTGCAGTACACGCGACAAAAGTAATGAAAGCTCAATCGATTCAAGTACACCATCATGCATTTCTTGCACTTCGACATTTTTAATAATGACACGTTTTACAAATATTGCTATGGTGTCTTCGAAGAACAATTATCTTGCGACTGGAATGGAATCTGGTCCCAGACAGCGTTGGCGTGATCCTATTATTATTCGTCACTTTGTGTCGGAAAACGAAATGGCACCGTGTTACAAGGTGTCTTTCTGGTTGATTGGACATCAGACACTATGATTAGCCCTCACCGCCACGAAGTTGGCATCCTTGATTGCAGTGCATGGTTCGTGCCAGTCGCAGGCGTTCATTGAAATCTGATGTTTCTCATTGCAAACTGCATCCACACTGATGCCATTTACCTCAGAGGTTCTAAAACACAGAGTTAGAAGAGTAAGATTCAAAATCACATCGGCAGTATTTCAGCAATATCGTGACAATAAAACATTTTTTTCTAACTGCATGGTCCTCAATGGTACAGAGTTTATGTGATTGAATATACCCATTAACACGTTAGGTCTTGATACTCGCAGTTACTAGTCTAGTCACTTCAATGTAAGTTGTAACACACAACAAGATATATTTCTATATTTTCTTTAACACTTACGCGCAATGACAATTAACATTATTTTTAATTGTGAATTCAGATGATTCAGTTTTAATGGACATAGTATATGCCTTGATAATGTTGTTTCATGTTCAACATACTCATATTTTCAGCTTCTAAATGCCTTTGAATTGTTTTCGGAAACATTGTACATTTCACGGAGGGTTTACTGTGGATGAGAAACCTTTTTGGGAAATATAAATGATATCAGAATGACACTACTGTATCTCGATGGTCATTTAATTTATAGACAATAATAACCAATGCGTCACGAGCACCTGATCTGAAAACGCCAACATGCCAACAGCCCATACGCCTACTAATTAAACAGTCTATTGACAAGGCGTCAGCACGGAGGGGAGGTAGTGAGTAGTATCTACGTACTTCTTGTTACCCTGTCTGAAACTGTTTGGTTGGTTACTTGTTTTGCGATTGCAAATCGATGGAAGGGAAATAACTCTAAATTTGTGTTTCATGTCTGTCGCTGTCTGTATCCGCTAATTGGCTATTTCTGGTACTCCTTATTATGATCCGATACCCGTGCTTCAAACAGTTCAAAATATAACATTGAGGTGTTTAGTAAGATAAATGCGTTGTTCACTGGACCCTCAGGTCCCACTTTAGTACATCAATGCATGTCCCCCTTGTGACCAGTGAACAACTTATACTTTAACACGTAATATACATGCTCACGCGATCAGGCATGCCGATGGGAGTAGCATGATTGGTTGGTTTGTTACTAAAACAAGTTTTTTGTTGGTTTGTTGTTAAAGGACACGCTCAGCAATATTCCAGGTGGCAGGCTGGTACTTTAACCCCCATGGAGGATGCAGCCATTAGCAATGTCAGTTGTTTTAGTACATGTTTTACTGTATAAATTCGGACTGAGCCTTCTTCTGGCGGCTTAGTTTTGACTGCAACAGGGATTCAGAAATACATTTTTAATTAAAAAACAAACAAATATCGGTTGATTTTTCAAACTACCAATCATAAAAAAAACCATTTATCTATTTACACAACTTTAATCAAACTTTATCTAATAACTATATTTCTTTTAAAATGCAATAATTACATGATAATTCAAACTAAAATGATCCTTCAATGTTTTGACATTGAAATACTTATTCACTGTGATGGAAAAACTACGCAATTGGAATACGAAGATATGTGTAAAACAAATCAGCCAAAACCGTTAGTCGCCTCTTACGACAAGTATGGGTTTCTGAACAATTCTAATGCGAACACACGTGAAGGTCCGGGTTAGAATATTGGCCTTCAGTAACCCATACTTGTCGTAAGAGGCGACTAACGGGATCGGGTGGTCAGGTTCGCTGACTTGGTTGACTATTTTTAGAGACAGTTACTGGGCAGGTGAGGTGAGGTGAAATTGGGTTTTACGTCGTGCTTGAGAATATTTCGCTCATATGACGACGTGCATGCGTGTGTATGTGTATGTGCGGCTGCTTGTACTAGCCCAGACTTAAGCTGGTTTTATAGTGCTAGCCCACTGAGATGTCATGCCGCAGTGAAGCATGAATAGCCCTTGTTGTACCCATTAATGCCGAGCGCCAGGCAGGGACCAACAAGTACCATATTTTAACGTCTTTTGGTATGACGCGGTCGGGGATCGAACCCGCGACCTTCCGCTCTTCGGCCGGACGCTCTAACCACTACACCACGGATGCTGTCTAGTTACTGGGGATCTGTCTGGCACGTTTTAGTTGGGTGAAAAGGTATTTGCCCTAGGATAGACGTTTTCGGACACACCCATGTCCTCCAGTGATAAAGACTTATTACGTAAGTTTGTCTTATCTCATCGTTCAGGGATGACAAAACTTTATGGATCATCAACTTCTTAATATTCACAATAGCGACGTTTTGATATAACATTTCTTGGATGTTTTGTTATCCAACCTTTGTTATTGTCATATTTTACATGTATCCTATAACGAAACGTCGCTATCGTGAATGTAAAGAAGTTGATCAACAATAAAGTCTTGTCATCTCTATACCACCAACTTCTAGAATGCAACTCAAACAAATTATCCTTCAGGAGCTGGATTTGCTTTGGAAGTTTCTGTTCTTGATTTTATTTTCGATTGTACAGTTGGTTTCCTATTTCTTCCAGATTGAGATTGAGTTTCAGGAGCAAGACATCTCTCTTGAGTCCTTACATCTCGAATACTATATCATCTCCGTCATGTCTGCAAACAGGCGACCTCGGTCTCTTGTTGCTATTCAGTGAGTGAGTGGGTTTAGTTGTATGCCGCACTCAGCAATATTCCAGCTATATGGTGGCGGTCTGTAAATTATCGAGTCTGGACCAGACAATGCAGTGATCAACAGTATGAGCATCCATCTGCGCAATTGGGAACCGATGACATGTGTCAACCAAGTCAGCGAGCATGACCATCCGATCCCGTTAGTCGCCTCTTACGACAAGCATGGGTTACTGAAGATCAATATTCTAACCCGGACCTTCACGGGTATGTTGCTATTCAGTGTTCTATGGGTATGTTGATAGCAGGTTGGTATCTTGCTGTTTTCTATTACATTGGAGATCCAGTCCACAAGCGTTTCATATGTTAACATCTCTTGCAACGTAGTTGATACATTAAGAAATCGCAAAAGGATCACGGGAGTCTTATCAAGAGTCGCAATAACCAGGATGGGCGGTGGGGAAGCCTAGTGGTTAAAGCGTTCGCTCCCAACATGGGTACAGTGTGTGAGGTGAGGTGAAATTGGGTTTAACGTCGTGCTTGAGAATATTTAGCTCATATGACGACGTGCATGCGTGTGTATGTGTATGTGCGGCTGCTTGTACTAGCCCAGACTTAAGCTGGTTTTATAGTGCTAGCTCACTGAGATACCATGCCGCAGTGAAGCATGGATACCCCACTCAGGCACAGTATACTGACTCCGAGCCGACCAGTCCTTGTTGTAGCCATTAATGTCGAGCACCAGGCAGGGACCAACAAGTACCATATTTTAACGTATTTTGGTATGACGCGGTCGGGGTCGAACCCGCGACCTTCCGCTCTCCGGGGGGACGCTCTAACCACTACACCACGGAGGCGGTCGTACAGGTGTTAAGCCCGTTTTGATGGAATATTGCTAAAATCGGCGTAAAACTAAAAACTCACTCACTAACTAGGTAACCGGGAAACGTGGCCATTAATCAATGGATTTGGAGGATCGGTGTTTATGATCCTTGTCGAGTGGACGTTTGCTTTAGTTATTTCATTTTGGGGAGGACTTCATGTTGCTTTATTAGTGCTTCATCATCCTGGCTCCCCACCCTCCACAGAGTATGATAAATACAATGCTAACAGATGGTTGATTTCGGACATGCTGCAGCACACACAGATATACCTAGGATATCCAGATAACATAACAGAAAATATAGAACGTAATTATTTCACAGAACTGGCCCATGGGCTAACACCTGCAAAAGCCGACTCGCCACGGAGAGGCTGCTCCTAATGGCTGCTATAAGCTGGGGTTAACCTTGCTGGGTCGTCCCGAGTGCCCTGGAAGCTTACACATAAATCTGTCATTGAGCATAAATCTATTACATGTGTATGTTGCTAACGAAGACCGTTACTAAACCTTATCCGAAATAGTCCATTACAATTCAACACTGTTGTACAGAGAATAACACTATACCAAAGTAACTTGTTGGGAGTAACGTTGACCCTGGCCTGCGAGCGCTTTGAGGACACCTGTGTCCTCACCGATTTTCAGCGAGTCATTGATAACATTTCCACTAATTTGCCTTATGCAAAAGCCATGTGGAATATATGAATGTACGGGGACATAATACTCTTGAACAAATAGCATTCTTCAATAAAAAGTCCGGTCGGTTTCGTAACGTCAGAGACTTGATACGTCAAACGATGAAAACACGTACCGGAATAAAACAACAACAACTGACAATGATGAAGCTTAGTCGCAGGCGACCTGAATCTCCTTGGGCTCACAGATTGAAGGAGTGAGACATGGATTGATACAGAGGAGATAATGGGGGATTTTATGAACGCCTAGTTCAATACAAGCGCATCTTTCTCCATTAGTATTGCGTGTGCCCATACGTTGCCATGGAATCAGATCTGCCGATCCTCACGAAAGGTTAAATCTTAAATATTGGTGTATGGTAAAGCTCAGGGGAGAAGAACGATTTCGGGTGGGTGTTTTTAGCAATATTCCAGCAATGTCGTGGCGGGGTACACCAGATATCGGCTTCACACATTGTACCCATGTGGGGAATCAGACCCAGCGTGGTTGTAATGACGAGCGAACGCTTTAACAATTGGGCTACCCCTCCGCCCCAGAATCTTATTGTGGACCCAGCTCCTAGTAATAACAATTTGGTTCCAAAGTGCATTCAGCGTTATATGAAGTAAAGGTGGACTAACGGTTTTACGCCCTAATTTGTGTTTACATTGGAAAGACGGTGATAATCTGCTGGAATTATTATTAATAATAATGTCATCTTCTATAGCGCTATAGTTCCCAAACACCAAGTGATTGCTCATGGCGCTTTTGATAAGACAGCTAGACTAGGCATCAGGGTGATATTTTCGGAAGAGAAGAGTTTTCAAATTTGACTTAAAGGACGACAGTGTTTCCGAGTTTTAAACGAAGAAGGGCAGATCATTCCCGAGAGAGGCGGATGTGCAACTGAAGCGTCTGTGTCCAAAGGTTTTCAGGTTGGCTATGGGAATTGTCAGCAGTGAGTTGTTAGCTGATCTGAGGCATAGAATTGAATGTATAATTCGCCATAAAGAATACAATAAGATGCAAGTTTCCACAGAATGACTGTCTGAAATTAGGAAACCTGAAACCCACACTTGTGTTTTGACATGAGTGGTAACTGAACAAAAGAAAGATATATCCTTTTGCGTGACTTTGTGAGTGGGTTTAAGTTTAAGGTTTTAGCAATATTCCTGGAATATCACGGCGGCATCCACACATTGTACGCACGTGGGGTATCGAACTCGGGCCATCGGCGTCACGAGCCAATGCTTTAACCACCAGACTACCCCACTGCCCTTTAGTGACGTCGTAAGCTGTGCCTCGTCATAAGAATATCGTAAGTGATGTTTCAATGTATTCCTCTATCCAGATCAGTATTAGTGGACTGCAATTGTCGCTCCATAATTCATTTCATCCAGGATCCTTAAATATTTGTGCCATTGTATATATTTCGGCCAAGGTCATGAGCCATGTAGATTGCTATTTGTGTTAATTCTGGTTTCACTCATCGGAGAAAATGGTTATTTCTTATATTCCATAACATGCGTGCTCATGTTGCAAAAGCAATGGTTCTTTACGACTGTGAAATCCCACTGTTGGAGCCTGGATACAGGACACCACTATGTTATGTATTTCAAGAACAAACGTTCCGAAAATGAAAGTTAAACATGACAGTTTGACTTGTCGCATTCACTAAAAATGAATGTTTGCAGCCACTCACCCCGGAGTCCTTGGATCCCAAGCAGTGTATTGTTTGGTAATTTATAACTGTGTGTTATAACTGTATCGTGATCTGTATCATTATCATTATCACAAGTAATTATTAGTAATATCATCACTATCGTTTTGAAAAAAAGTGGTGAATCGTTGTGCGATAGTTTAAACGCGTTTACATGCCAAAATATATTTGAATCTTAAAAATGTTTGAAATTGTCAGCACACATTTTCTCCTGTACGTATATTTACTTATGGAGTAAATAAACTTACAGGAGTAAAAGTACATTTACTTTCTGTTCACATAGATATTTAATAGGTGTAAATCTGATTTGCATACCCCTAGACATCTGGTTTTGAATAACTTTTGTCTTTTTGAGACAAAATGAGTAGGCTATTGATTTCAAAACGCAGACGAGATCTGCAGTATGGTGTGGCATCAGGA